AGACTCCACCTCAAAAAAAAAAAAAAAATTATCACACTACAATGACATGTCACTAGAAATCATCTTTCGGATCCATGCTATAGGATTTCATTATAGGTAGAATTTCTATTATACCAAGGTACACCTAAATGTAATTCCTAATCAGAACGGTCAAAGATAAGCACAACTTATACCTGTATTACTGTACCCATAGTTTCTGTGAGAATACATGGTCTAATAATAGAGTTCACCAAATAATGGAGAAACTAAAATTAGAAGGGAACCAAAAGTCTACTTAAGAACCTATTTTGGAAAGCAAAATCCACATACATCCCACCTCAATTTATGATAATCAAATCTGGTTATCCATATTAATACATACCTGGTAGAGTTCTTCTAAATTATACTTAATTGAAGTACTATTCTGAATAGCTTCCACTGCTTCTTTCAGTTTTTGCCAGGTTTCATCTGTGTAGTTTTCTGGTAACTTAGGCTTATCTAGATGATATGTAAAAGGTTGGTATCAGAATACTATGTCAGATATAGTAACCAAAGGTCCATAAAATACAACAGTATTACTATTTTTAGGGTAAATTGTGATCTATATAACTATTACACCTAATCATTAAAGTAACCACTGTATTTAAGCTTAATATAAAGAATAAAATTTGAAATGCCATAATACTGTTTAAGTCATTTTGACTCACCTATTAAAACTGAAGGTGAGGTTTTTCTCCTATTGATTGTATTGCTTCAAAAAAATAAAAATTCAAGAATGACCATAAAAAACAACAATCCTGATCTTATTTCATCATGTGTAAAACCTAAGTCGACATGAATTTTTAACCTGAGATTTAAAATTATGTCTATGTGCAAAGTATTTTATAAACCTCTTAATCTTCCCAACAATACCCTGAGGAATCTATTTTACAACCGAGGAAACTGAGGCTGGAACTAATTTAGTAAGCTTGCCCAAGGTCATCATAGCTAGTCAATGGCAAAGCTGGGATTCTAATTCATGTCCGTTTGACCCCCAAATTTATGCAACATCTACAGAAATATATACATCTTAGCATTTATGATCAGAGTGAAATTTTTAAAGATTGAAACATCCAAATAACTCAAGAAAATAGCTGCATTTTCAGAATAGAAAGAAACATCTTACTGTAGGCTTTAAACTTCATTGACTAGCAATGAGCAGGGGAAGAAAAGTTTAATCGGACCAACCAAATGCCTTAATAATGTGCCTTTATTTTAGGAGGGAGAGAAAAAAAAATCTCTGAAACAAATCTGCAAATGCAATCAGGATCATTACTCATTTCTTTAAAAACCTTTGGCTATTAAATCCATATATTTTTAAGTGAAATAATGAACATGTTAGTCAATTACAATTCATATCGACTTCAGAAAGCTCTACGATTAAATCAGAAACTGAGAGCCTGAGTATGGGAAGGTAGCGATATAAAAAAGAAAGGGTTAAAAATAGACAACACCATAGCCATCTGCTTGAGACAAAATAAAGCATATTCCTGATTTCCACACAATGTTGGAATCACAAGCATAGAGAACGTAATCTTCTCAATACTAATATTTAGCCACAAAGCACTTATCTCATATATGTTACTTAAGTTCATTCATTTACTTCTCTATTTAATGAATATTGTAAGCACTGATTACCTGGCAGTTAAGGGTGTTGAAAAGTCAGTCAGAAAAACAGAAACACATTCAACAGATAAAAATTAATTCAGCTCAAATACATTTTAAAAAATTGCTGATTCTATATTTGCATCAATGCATTTATAATACTCTCCATCACATATCTCAAACACAGTCTGAACAAATTTTCCTAAAAGCTGCAGGTCGATACTTTAAAATCCATCTTAGTGATGGAAAAAATAGATGTAGTTATTGTTCCTATCTTTAGACTAGTGGTACACAGAGTTACTACTTCTGTGTATACACAATGTTTTTCACTTCCAAATCCTACCTTTGGAAAGAAATGCAGAGAACATAAATAAATTGTTCTCCAAATATTGCTTCCAAATGAGTTTCATGAATACAGTATTAAGTCTAATTATAAATCTTATATGAGCATTAAAAGATCACCATTGCTACCTGCATTTCTAGGCACTGGATAATGTGGCCTACTGAAGCATAAAAATAAAAATCCCAGCAGTGCCAAGGCTTGCTATGCACCTGAAATAAATAAACCTCTTTAGAATACAAATTTCTCACCTGTAAAATCCGGATCAATCATACTGATTGTCAGTGTTATAAGGAATAACAGATTAAATACAATAGGTTGAGAAAGACCTCAAAATACTGCACAGAAACACCCGGTGTATGCTTCAGCACAAGGATCCTAACCACCCCCGGAAAATGAACCCTCCACCAAAAAAGGACCTCCCCTCCACCTCATTGATTATGCATAAAACATTAGGCCACCTCCAAACTGTTTAATATATTAACATAAATAGAGCACGTGACCCCTCGAGTGTCAAATCCTTAGTAGGTGATTATGGATTTTGGCCTTGGTTACCTTTAAAGTTCTTGATCACTAACTTCTTAGCAGAGCCAGGCTTGCTGTTAGCAAAGCTAGAGACGGTGGTAGAAGATTTGGCTAGGCCGTTTGCATGATGCACCGAAGCCACAGAAGAGATTAATATACTCTTATTTTTAAGTTGCTGCTGCTGAGATGTTGCAGCAGTTGGTGAAGATGAGGAGGAGGAGGAGGAGGATTCCTCAGCCATCTTCGCATCAAACCCTACAAACTCCAGGGTGTCTTCAAAACGCAGCTTCTTCTGTATCGGTACGTGGCTGGAAGCAGCCACTGAAACCCCCAGGCAGAAGGACGAGGTTGAAGGGGATGCCGAATCCCTGGGTTGTAAAGGAGGAGTGGAAGAGGAGGAAGAGGTGGAATCAAAGTCTTCTCTCTCGTTACTACTGTTACTGCCGCTACTGCTGCTGCTGTTTAACTTTCTCTTCTTGGCAGAGGTGGGCGGAGTGGTGCTGGTATTACCATCAGTGGCAGATCTGACCTCCTGAGCAGCAGCAGCAGCTGAGGGACTGGGGGAAGAAAAACCTGTTGGAAACATGAAAATAGCGGGGTCAACAGGCAGAGGAGCATCAAAAACCTACGTTTATATGCCTGCGTGCGTGTAGGAGAGAAGGTGGCAATGCTAGAGGGGGAAGGGAAGAAAGAAGAGAGGAGAAACACAGAGGACGAGAAGGAAAGTGAAGGGGGGGGCTACACCGGGGGAATGGGAGGGTTTGGGAAGGCGGGTAGGCTGACACCAGGAGTGAGCAGAACGAGGGGGGAGAGCGAATGAGGAGGCAGACAGGTAAACGGCGGTGCCGTCCCCCTCCCCTGCTTTTCGATCTCTCTCCCCCCTTTCTGCGGGAGCGACTCAGCGAGTCTGTGAGGCTGCAGCTCCTCCTCCTTTTCTCCCTCTCCCTGGGAGGGGAGAGGCGAGAGGCTGTGGTTGGGGGGAAGGGGGAGGGGGAAAGAACCGGGGCTTGTTATTGTCAATAGCACAAGAGGCTAAAGATGGCGCTATTTCCGGTCACGCGGAGCCGAGGGAGGGGCGGTGACAATCTCTGGGAGTGGGGGTGAGGGAAGCGCAGCAGCCGCCCGGGGGGCGGGGGAGCTCACGCGTTGCGGGGGGCGGCGGGAAAGGGGCGGCTGAAGCTCCCTAGACGCTCGCGCTAGTTCGCTCCTGCTCCCGCTCCTCTTCGCGCTCGCCTTTCCTGTCAGCGCTTTCCTTCCCTGGCCCACTGGGAACTCCCACTCCCTCCTTAACGGTCCCGCGGGAAGCTTCGCGCCGCTGCGCCCTTACCGGAAGTGACCGGACAGACACTTTTCATAGCGCCCAGATCCCGAAGCCCCCAGGTCCGCAGGACTTGAGTGGGGGGGGGGGGGGGGAGATAGGGGGGGGAAGAAAAGTGGATAGGGAGGAGGGGGCGGGCCTTCGAGACACCTTCGGAGCTCCTGATTGGAGCTTTCTGAAGCGAGGGGGTGGGGGGTGGCGGGAGAAGGAGCGGGAAGGAGTCTGAGGGGGAGGGAAGGTAGTGACGGCGAGGGGCGGAGTGAGGTAGCTGGGAAAACGGAGGTGGAGGAAGAGGAGGAGAGAGGGAGGGACGGAATAAAACGTCAGTGTACGGGAGAATGGAAACTTTTGAAAGAGATAAAAGAATAAGGAGTGGTTGCAAGGCTAGGGGAGTAACCCTAAATAGAGGAAAACATAATCATGCCATTATGCCCGTTGCTGGAAAGGAATGTCACGATGTTAACATAGGAAAGAAGAAAAGAGCTAAGATAGGAAGAAAAGGACTTTTTGATTCGGTGCCGCTATTAATTGTTTCTGTTTTATCTTAAGGCACCACAGACCCAAGGCTGAATCAGGCCTGAGTTTTGATGCCGTTCTCATTCTGGTAGCTGTAAATCCTTTTACCTTCCTACCAGGAGCATTTTCTAAGCTGGCTGGCCAAATTAAGGGTGCACTCTAAGGTGAAGAAATAGGAACGTAACTAACCCCTCACCCACCCAGCACTATGCCCAGGCCGTCCTAACCCCGACTCCATCAGTCCTTAACTCAGTAATTTATAGACCAAAGCTAAGACCCACTTCCTCTTTTTGCCAAATCTCAGCTTATACGCTGTCCCAAAGGAGAGACATTTTAGAACAATATCGGCAAAAGTCAATGTTTTCTACCAATGTGTTTCATGAGCTCACGCTTTAAACTTGATTACTGATTTTTTAAATCTTTAAATTTGGTTAAATTAGCAACAATAAACCTTGTAAATTCCCTGTTGAGAGTTTTTACTTAACCTTGAGGCATTCTCAGAGGGAGGTAACACAATGTCAAAACTCAGTTTGCCAACCTGTTGATCATGCTAACTGCAGAAGCATTCAGTGAGCATGTTTGGTAAGGCACAATGCAAGGTCTCTGCCCTTGAGAAGCCAGTGGGGGAAGATAGTTTCAAAGCTAATTTCCATAACAATACTATAACAGATATACAAAGTGCTGTCAGAATAGGCAAAACAAGAAATTTGGGGGAAATCTGGAATAGTCAGGAAGAATTCTACAGAGATTATGTTGATGCTATGTCTCAAAGTGGGAGTTGCCAAAAAGACAAGAGGGAACAGTATGAAACGCATTCTGGGAAATGGAAACAAGAGCAAAGCAAGGAGTTGTGAAAAGGCCTGGCCTGTTTATGGAAACATGGAAAATGCAGTGAGGCTGGAAAGTAGGATGTCTGGCTGGGAGTAAGGAAGAGGAGGCTCAAAAGTGCCTGGCACACCAAGCCAAGAATTTGGAATCTACTCTGTAGGCGATCATAGATAGCAGGGGGACAATCCAGCAAGCAGAGCTTTTACAAACCAGGAGTGACAGGATTGTGAGTGGAGTAAAAGCAGCTTGTATGGCATAGCTTGTGATAGGTGAATCAGAACTCTGCAAATAAATCAACTTTCTAACTTTGTTTAAACAGGCCCACTTGTTTTTGTGTCTTGAAAAGTCCCTGATTAAAATGCAAATCAACCTTGGGCATTATCAAACAATATCATTGCTATTTGATGACGGCCTGCTAAAAGCAAGGCTCTACTGGAACTTAGAACCCAAGGCCCCTGAGAAGGGAGACAGGGGCCTGAAAGGGGACAGAAGGAAGCATTCCTATCTGTCTTGAATATACCACATAGTTTTGTTTGTTTGTTTGTTTTTTTAAGACAGAATCTTGCTGTGTCATCCAGGCTAGAGCGCAGTGGTGTCATCTTGGCTCACTGCAACCTCCGCCTCCTGGGTTAAAGTGATTCTTGTGCCTCAGCCTCCTTGAGTAGCTAGGACTATAGGCGTGTGACACCACGCCTGCTAATTTTTTTTTGTATTTTTAGTAGAGACAGGGTTTCGCCATGTTGGCCAGGCTGGTCTCGAACTCCTGACCTCAAGTGATCCACCAGCCTCAGCCTCCCAAAGTTCTGGGCCTACCATATAGTTCTTGCTGCCCAAATAGAAACAGTAAACTCTTAAGGCCAGGAAAGATGCATTAAAACATTGAGCTTTCCTTTATCATGTCTCATATTTTACAAAACGCTGAACAACTGTAAATGCAGGGTAAATGCTTATTGAATTGAATGTTTCATTGAATGTGGATAAAATCATGCTGTATCTTTATAAGGGAGGATTAACTGGCTCATTTTCAGGATTTAATGAACAAGGTTGTTCTAATTCATGTAGTTAAATTCTTTAGGAGGCTATATGAAGTGGTAGCCATTTAAAAAATACAAATATTAGTGCAACTGAAAGGGAATGGACATAAGAGAAGGCTGCTTTTGCCATACAAAGATAAACTATTCTACTAACCTACATGATAGCTAAGTCCTGTTAATATTTAACTACATTCTAGTAATAATAATTCTCAATCTCACATCGTTATCTAAGCCCTTCGGTCTTCTGAGTTATAGCTTGGTTTTAAAAAGCACAGATCCAAGCCAGGTGCGGCGGCTCATGCCTGTAATCCCAGCACTTTGGGAGGCCAAGGTGGGAGGATCACAAGGTCAGGCATTCAAGGCCAGCCTGGCCAACATGGTGAAACCCCGTCTCTACTAAAAATACAGAAATTAGCCGGGTCTGGTAATGTGCGCCTGTAATCCCAGCTACTCAGGAGGCTGAGGCAGGAGAATTGCTTGAACCCAGGAGGCAGAGGTTGCAGTGAGCCAAGATCACACCACTGTACTCCAGCCTGGGTGATACAGTGAGACCTTATTACAAAAAGAAAAAGGCTAGGTGCAGTGGCTCAGGCCTGTAATCCCAACACTTTGGGAGGCTGATACGAGTGGATCACCTGAGGTCAAGGGTTCAAGACAAGCCTGGCCAACATGGCAAAACCCCATCTTTACTAAAAATACAAAAATTATCCAGGTGTGGTGGAGAATGCCTGTAATCCCAGCCACTTGGGAGGCTAAGGCAGGAAAATCACTTGAACTCTGGAGGTGGAGGTTGCAGTGAGCTGAAATTGTGCCACTGCACTCCTGCCTGGGCAACAGGGCAAGACTCTGTCTCGAAAAACAAAAACAAAAACAAAAACCTACCAAGTTGATTTGTAAAATATCTTTTACATCAAGAACCAACTAATTGAGGCTAGCTGAAGAACATAAGCATATATTCTATACACCCAAATGTTTGCCAACCAATGTTAAACACATTCTTAACATTAAAATACATTTTTAAGGTTGAACTCACGGGAACCACAATAATCAAGATGTGTAATGTAGGACACCATACAATTATAGCCATTATCAGACTCAACCAGACTGGGCACTTAACACATACTTCATATTTAGGATCTTTCATCTTGTGAGTTCAACTCATACCTTAGAAACATTAATTAAACTTTACAATGCTACCACACGAGGTATAGTTATTATTGGCCGCCTTTTAACCAAGCTGTTTATAAAGGTAAGTATGCACATAAAGGAAGAAATATAAAGACAGGGACTAGATCTTATAATGTCCATTCCTTTATTTCTATGGACATCTCCCTAAAAAGTCAGAGTGTAACCCGTTTCCCTTTTTGATCACAGGGATCCGCCAGGGTGCTTGGGGAATCTAGATGTGTAATATAATGTAGGACACCATACAGTTATAGCCATCCGGTGTGCTTTAGGTCCTCTTCAGATATAGCAGTGGCTTGCCACTAGATAGATACTCCTGGAAGCCTTCCTATCCAATGGGTGGGATTTTCCTTAGGAATAGGAGAGACTGCTTGCCCAGGAGAATCTGAAGATGTTTCTGAAGCAAGCATTGTTTAAGAATGTATCAACAGGCCAGGCGTGGTGGCTCACGCCTGTAATCCAAGCACTTTGGAGGCCAAGGCGGGCGGATCACCTGAGGTCCGGAGTTCAAGACCAGCCTGACCAACATGGTG